CTTCTAATTCAGTCTTGTCCGTCACTCCAGGTACTACCTCATCATGGTATTTTGATTCTGCCTATTGCAATCATATGACATCCAATTCATCCCTGTTTACTTCCAAGTCACATCCTTCTATTGCACCAACTATTCATACTACCGATAGTTCCACCTTAACTATCAAAAGTGTAGGAACTAATTCAACATCTCATTTGTCACTTCCTAACACTTTTTTGGTACCTCAATTATCTCTAAATCTTATATCTGTTGGCCAATTATGTGAACTTGGTTTTGAAATACATTTCTCAAGTCGTGGTTGTACTGTGCAAGATCCACGGCAGGGAAAATCATTGGGACAGGCCGTAAGATTGGGAGACTGTTTGAGCTATCATCTCTTCAATTACCATCTCTTGTTGTTGTTGTCACCTCTAGTGTTTGACATTCTCGCCTAGGTCACATTTTTACCTCTAGATTAGGATCTTTAATTTCTAATGGATGTTTGGGTCCTGTTAAAACAACACACTTTGATTGTGTTTCATGTCCTCTTTCAAAACATCATGCTTTGCCTTTTAATATAAGTGATTCTGTTTTTTCTACACATTTTGATCTTATTCATTCTGATATTTGGGAACCTTCGCCTCATAATACCATGGGTGGTTCGCATTATTTTGTGATCTTCATTGATGATTTCTCTCGATATACATGGATTTATCTCATGCGTAATAAATCTGAATTACTTGCAATTTATATTCAATTTGCCACCATGATCAAAACTCAGTTTTCCTCTATCATCCAAATTTTTCGCACTGATAATGCTATGGAATATAGAGATTCTATCCTTACTCAATTTCTTTCACAAAATGAAACTATCATTCATAAATCTTGTCCCGGTACCTCTCAACAAAATGGGCATGCAGAACGAAAACATAGGCATATTCTTGATACTGTTTGAGCTCTTTTAATCTCTTCCTCTTGTCCTAAACGTTTATGGGGGGAAGCAGCCCTCACTATTTTTTATACCATCAATCGCATTCCTTCTCCTGTTATTGGTAATATTTCTCCTTATGAACGATTGTATGGCCATTGCTCTAATTACCAGTCTCTTTGTATATTTGGTTGTGCTTGTTTTGTTCTATTACAACCTCATGAACATACCAAATTGGAACCAAAAGCACGTCTATATTGTTTTCTCGGGTATGGTATTGAACATAAAGAATATCGGTGTTGGGATCCTCTTTCCCAACAACTTCGCATATCTTGTCATGTTACCTTTTGGGAACACAAAATGTTCTCAAGTCTCTCCTCATTTTGAGTTACCATGACATCTTCACATTTTTTTACTGATCCTACTATTTCGATTTTTCCTGATGATTTACCTGCAGGTCCGACTACTTCTTCCTCTGATAGCTCTAACAATACTGCACAACCTGCAACCTCTCTGAATGCATCTACCTTGGCTATGGATCCTCTAGTTCTACCTTCTTCTGAGCCCTTGATTGCTCTTGATGAGTTCAACCCTGACCATTCTGATGCTCCACTCCGTCGTTCTGGTAGGGTCACTAAACCTTCTGTCATTCTTCATGATTTTCATTGTTATTCTACCATAGTATCTTTATACGAACCTTGCACCTATCGCGAGGCTAGTACTGACCCTCTATGGCAGAAAGCAATGGCAGAAGAAATTTAAGCTCTTACAAGCACTCACACTTGGGATTTAGTTGACCTGCCTCTAGATAAATCCGTGATTGGTTGTAAATGGGTCTACAAAATCAAGACCCGGGCAGATAGTTCAGTTGAAAGGTATAAAGCTAGATTGGTAGCTAAAGGGTTCACATAGGAGTATGGCATTGATTATGAGGAGACTTTTGCCCCAGTTGCCCGTCTCACCTCTGTTCGCAGTCTTATTGCAATTGCTGCAGCTAAGCACTGGCAGCTATTTCAGATGGATGTTAAGAATGTTTTTCTCAATGGCGATCTTTCTGAAGAGATTTATATGCAGCCCCCTCCTGGTTATGATCATCTCCCTAATCAGGTTTGTCGTCTTCGTAAGGCTCTATATGGACTTAAGCAGGCGCCTCAAGCATGGTTCTCCAAATTCAGCTCTACTGTTTGTCAGTTTGGTTTTAAATCTAGCACTTATGATCATGTCTTGTTCATCCGTAAGACCTCTCAGGGTTGTGTCCTCCTCCTTTATGTGAATGACATGATCATTACTGGCAATGATTTGCAGGGCATTTCCGCTCTTAAGAATTTTCTTAGCAAACAATTTGAAATGAAAGATCTTGGTCGACTAAATTATTTCCTAGGTGTTAAGGTCTCCTCCGACCAATCGGGATATTATCTGTCTCAGGCCAAGTATGCTACTGATCTTATTTCTCATGCAGGACTCACTGATACTAAGACTGTTAACACTCCGATTGAGCCTAATGCCCATTTTACAGCCATTGATGGTACTCCTCTTAGTGACTGCACCTTATATCGGCAACTAGTTGGCAGTCTTGTATACCTTACTGTTACTCGTCCTGATATTGCGTATGCTGTTCATATTGTGAGTCAGTTCATGTCTGCCCCTCGCACTACTCATTATGTTGTTGTACTTCGTATCATCCGTTATGTCAAGGGCACTTTGTTTCATGGACTTCACTACTCCAGTTCTTCCTCTCTTCAGTTGATCGCATATTCTGATGCTGATTGGGCCGGTGATCCTACTGATAGACGCTCCACTACTGGTTATTGCTTCTTTCTTGGAAATTCTCTTATATCTTTGAGTAGTAAGAAGTAAACAGTTGTCTCTCGTTCCAATACTGAAGCTGAATATAGAGCTCTTGCTGACACTACCTCCGAGCTGTTATGGTTACGATGGTTATCCATGACATGGGACTTACTCATTCATCTGCAACCTCACTTTACTGTGACAATCATAATGCCATACAGATTGCCCACAATGATGTATTTCATGAGCACACTAAGCATATTGAGACTGATTGTCACTTTATTCGTCATCATGTGCTCGATGGTACTATTCGCCTTATTCCTGTCTCTTCCCAGGATCAGTCTGTAGATATATTTACCAAAGCTCACTCTCCTCTTCGCTTCCGTGCTCTAGTTGGCAAACTCCAGATGATTGATACATTACCATCTTGAGTTTGAGGGGGGATGTTAACGTATTCTATCAACATTAGTATCCTAGAATTAAGGAGAGATAGTCCTATCGAAATTAGTATCCTATCATTATCTCCTTAATTCTAGGAGAGATAGTCCTATCGAAATTAGCTATACATATCTTTTTTGTATTCTAATTTAGGTAGCAAACCTTGTATCCCTAGCTCTATTATAAATAGGGTTGTAACCTGTTGAATTAGATATCAAGAATTATTATTTTCTCCATTTATCTTCTTTGTTTTTCGTATCAAGTGTTCTTTTAATCATATTATGATAAACATGTTGTGTCAGAGTTTTGTTTACATTGTCAGCGTCAAATAGAGTTAGAAGGAAGATGGTTAAATCAATTTGGCTGATGATGTTGGGAAAAAGAAATTGACACATCCTTATCCTACTAAAGAGGATTTTGTTATCGTACCCTGAACAGTTAGAATAAGGCATTATTGATTGATTATTAATTACCACTGATAATCACTACATAAAGTCGACAACTGTCTTAGTTTCACAAACAAGATAGAAGTGATTTGTTAAAAGTTGAAGGAATTACAAGGTTGAATGGATTAAAAAGAATATTTATAAAAATAGTAAAACATGATTTAAACATTAATGATTTAACAACTGATATGGCTTTAAATAGAGTGATGAATCGGAATTGATGTAGTAGAGCTCATATAATTGGGATAATATAATGATGATGGTGACTTGCCTTGGCTTCACATCCAAATAATCTACCTCAAAATTTTAGCCCATTTCTTTGACTGTATAACCTCTCTTTTCTTGTGAATGCCTCTAAGTACCCATACTCCAAATATCGATTTTAACATATCACCTAATTCAAAGCATCATTGATACTCTCAAATTGTTTTCTAGGCCAATAATATTGATGAGGGATGGTTTGGCCTTCCAGTGACGTGATGATATATGGCATCTTAAAACAGTTAATTGATACCTCAGCACCATATAAGTAAACTTTGGGAGCGCTTTAGACACCTTGCAACCGCCTTTGATACCTCAACATAAGAGGCAACCTACTTCTGCCGAGTTGACCCAAGTTCAACTAGCAACCTGCCTAGAGTGTCAACCGACCTCTTCTACGGGTGGAGTGTCATCTGTGACTTTCCTAGGATCATGACACCACGTTGGAAGAGTCAATTATCTCCCCATCCATTTCGGGCACGACTAGATAAACACCACCCGCTTATACAAAATCCATCTCTAGGCATAAAACCACCTTCTAAGCAGATGGATTAGAAATCTCGAACGCACGTCATGAGCCTCATAGTAGCTTGTCTATATAAAAATGTCCCTTTCTTTTCAAAAAGATACTCATGATTTATATCATTCACAACTTTCTAGCTCTCCACTTTTTACCTCTTACAAAACTCTTCTCTTACTTAAGTATAAGAATACTCATCCCAAATAAAACAATCAGGATATTCTGAATTGTTTATTTGCAGCTCAGCTAGGTGATCGTCCGAGCTGTCTGCCACGATAGGTCGAGCAACATCAAATACTTTAATTACTTTGAACATTGTTTTGTTCACAGCAATGGCGGCTAGGACGATGACAGAGGGGGTGGTAGAAAGGCCGATTGATTGCAAATTCCACCTTAATATTGATGGCCAGTCAAATCATCAGATACAGCCGTATATCCGAACTTGAAGGCAGGGGATATTTGTAAAAATAAATACAAAAAAATGGTTAAAATTCATAAATGCATGAAGGCCCAAGGGATGGCTGAGCAGAAAAATGAAAAATCCCCACCAACATGTTCCATTGCCACCCCCACAATAATTTTTTCAAATGGATAGAAATCATAGAATCGCAAAAAAAGGGCTTTATAAAAAGTGTACCCATGAAAGAAATGCTCTGTTGGTGATATATGTTGAGAGAGAGAAAGAGGGTACATAGGTAAAAAACATGTGTAAAATTTTATTATTTACACCAAGCAAAAGCAAAAGAAGAGATCTAGAGATAGGTCTAAGAACACATGGATATGGACCTGGACATCAAGTACTCTAAAAAAGAGAAAACAAAAAAAAAAAAAAGAATAAACAGAAACCAGCTGAGCTGCATCTCTACCTACAGTGCAAAAGCTACAAGCTGGTTCTTCCCAAAACTTCTCCTTCAAAACAAAAAAGGTGAAAGCAGAAACCCCACCAAAGGGGGTTGTATAGTGGAGGTAGGTGTTAGGAGACTCCGGGGATGTATCTGTCTCTCTCCAAAGCATCCCTCGGGTAAAATCTCCTCAAGAAGGACTAGGACGACTAGGACGAGAATTTGGGTCTGCTAAAATCTATAATAGGGTCTAGGCTTGTTTCTCCAAATCATTGGAATTTATGAACGTGCCGTGGAAACCGTAAGGAACGCGAGAAGGTAGCTTGACTGAGGCTTCCAACTGTAAATTCATGGCGTTTACTATTACAAGCTCTGATTTTGACGTCTTCTCGTCGTGCATGAAAGCCAGTATGTACCCATCATCTTCTCTCTCTGAGTTGGGGTGCCTCGGCACGAAGAATGGCTCGCCACCGTAGCACCGGTCTCCATACATGAATTTGCTCACTTCTCCGGTGGTGAGGTCTACCTTGGCGAAGCCGGAAACCCTCGGCCATGGCTCGGCAATTGCTAGATAAGCAAACTGGCTCTTCCTCCCCAACCGATTCCGGTTCACCATCCCGGCTTCCAAGTTCAATTGGTTAGAAACAGAGATGATGGGTCGCCGCGTCGACTTACCAGTCTTCAGGTTGAGTCGAATCTCTGAAAGGACGCTCTTCAGACCCTCTTCGCATTCGTTGAATATGGAGTCCGGTGGGGTCATGCAGGAACCGATGACGACGACCTCGTCTGTCTCGGGCTCTTCCCAAGCGTTCCAGAGGTGGAAGCAGAAGCAATCAGGGACTTCCACCCATCTGATCCCTGAAGCGTCGACGGCGTTCTTGTCCAAGATTCCAAACCTCGATATCTTGTTCTTATCGTAGACAACCGGAGAGCCTCCTCGGATCATCTCCTGGAGCTTGAACACCACTTGCTGATCGGGTATAACCACGAACCTCTCGGTGATCGCGAAGTCGTGCATCATGGTGGGCTCAGTGACAGGAATCTCAACGTCCGGTGACTTCTGGCCATCTGGGGAGAAGCTGAAGTACTTGAGGTATGGCTTCTGGATGACATCGTAGCTGAGAGCGAAGAGCTTCCCCGAAACTGGGTCGAGCTTTGGGTGAGCAATCATTGCGGAGCAGAGCTGGCCGTTGAAGTCGTAACGGCCAACTGTCTCGAGGTCGCCGGAGGCAGTCACACGCACATGGTAAGGCAAGTCGTCCTCGGACATGGCAAGAAGGTGGCCGTTGAAGTAGACTAGGCCGGCGTTGGCGACTCCGGTGCCGTGAGTATGATCGACAAGCCCAAAGAGTCCTCTGGCGTAGAAAAGAAGGAGACGAGCAATACCAAAGTGGCCGTGAAGTTCACCAATGGCTTTGGGGAAGACAGGGCGGCCAAGGGCTCTTTCCTGAACCAGACGCTGGGTTTCAGTGAAGCGGCAAGCATAGCTTGCTGAGCCGTCTTCGATACGAACAGCGTGAACCATACCGTCTCCGTCGAAGAAATGGTGGCCGGCGACTGGCTCGAACAGAGGATTGGCGCCGTTACGGACGTAAACACCCTGAATGCAATCGGGGATACGGCCGGACACGGGAAGGGAATGGCGAACGGGTTGTTCAAGTACTGGTGCGAAATTGCCGGCGATTTGAACAGCTGGGTCAGCTGTCTTGGGTAGAGGGTGGTGGCGCTCGCTGGATACCAGAGCGGCCTCGACGGCATCCAAAGCAATGGCCGCAGACCGTTGGAGTAGATTCCATTGTGGAGATGAAGGGTTGTTGGTGGTGGGGGTGGAGACCGAGTCGTCCTCCTTGGTTTTGGGTTTGGTTTTGAGCTTGGGGAGAGTAGTAATAGTGGTAGCGGCAGAGGTCGTTGTTGGTTGGAAGGTCGAGGTCTGCTTCGGGAAATGGAACACTGAAGGCGTCGTCTGGAGAGAGCAATGGAGCTGGGCTCTTCTGTTGGGCTTCTTTAAGATTATGGACTTGGAACTGTAGCCCAAATCCATCAATGGAGAAGGCTGAACTAAGTTGGAATTAACAAATGTACTAGATGTGACGGAAGCAGCAGAAGAAGCCATACTCATTGTTTTTGAGGTCTTGGGATTCACAGTGTAAAGAGAGTGGTAGACTGGCAGTAGAAGTGAGAGTAGTAATGAATGGTTTGTTTTTGGTGTAGTGATATTGTGAGATAGAGATTTTGATGCTTTTGGTTTGGGTTTTGGAGGAGAGAGAGAGAGATGGAGATTTGAGTGAGTGAGCAAAGAGAGAGGAGAGGTGAGTTGAGGAGGGAAGTTGAGAGGTTTATATAGAGATGGGGTGAGGGGGTGGACATAAGAGAGGAAGTCCACCACAACTTCTAAGGTAAGACCACCACGTGGAGGATATTGGAAAAACACAGCAATTTTGACATTATAAGGATTAGAAAGAGGTTGGAGCAAGCCAAAGCTCCTTAGAAGGTTGACACGACCACCTCCCCCGGCCCACCCTTTTCTCTCTCTTTAAAAACAATTATGGAGTCTTTATATTAGGGAAGGTTCCTTGATTTGTGAACCACCACACATGGCACATAATAACATTTGAGGTGTTTGAACAAAAAGCACATAATTGATTAATGATAAAAATAAAACCAAAAAATGTTTCCCCTCCCACCCCATATGGTAAACCATAGTCCTTTTCTCGTTTCTCCCCGCGTTCCCTCCTCTAATTTAGGTCATCTCACCCACGTGGCTCTCTTCTCTACTCCTCCCACCTGAAATCTAGGTCACATCACTGCCCCACACGTTTGCTCACAAAACACACATTCTCTCACTCTCTCTCTCTCTAAAAGTTACCCTTCTTCTCAGATGAAGCCTTTGATGTTTATACATATGTGCAGCATATGCCATAAGTAAAATAAAAAACATAAATATGTTCCAGGAATTTTTTGGTAGAATTTCAGGATTAATCCATAAAGGTGAAAAGATTTTAGATTTAGATTAAATTATTAGACTTAATGATATAAGGAGATAATGCATTTTTTTAATTGATACATACATGTGACTGAAAGATATTAGATATCAGACTCAGATATTTATTTTTTTGTTTATAGATAAACCAGCTAGATGGGACCATATCTCCTACCTAGAATTTATTGCTATTTCTTCTTAATAATAAACTTAAGATATTTTAATTGACTATTACTTGCTATTCCAAGAAAAAGGGGATAGTCTAGTCTAGTTGATAATAACATTTGAATATATAGGTCCTTCTTCTGAGGCCCAGATTATAGGATATATGTTAGGAAGTAGATGTGAGAATACTCAATTTAGTTATATATTTAACATCTGAGATAATAACATGATGCCAGATGATTGTCACTTTCTTGACCTTTCATCACAGGGCAAGCTAAAATTTTGAGCACTAGCTAAAACTGTAATAAAAGCTTGGTTACTTATTGCTTATAGACTTGCACTGTACAATTTAGTTGTGCACTTTTTAATTTTTTTTTTCAAACAAACCTTAGGATTAATTACAGTGAGCAACCTACTTAGAAAGAGAATGAATATGGCAGTTAATTATTTATAATCATGCAAAACAAGGAAGAAGACCCACAGAGAACCTAAGTTGTTGACACCAACTTTTAGAATTTTATTCAACTTATAAGTGAACTTTGATCTCTAGTAAAATCCACTGTTCAAAGAAGCTTAGTTTAAAGATTTGGTTTGATAGATAAATAAGAGAGAAAAGTGGTCATTACTTGTTGGTATTATGGTAAAATCTCGGATTGTCAAGCGTGAGAATGTGGGTTCGAGTATGAGAACAGTAATTTTATGTAAACAAAAAAAAAAAAAAGCCTAAAGTTAGAACCCTATCCAGTCCACCCCTCGCAAGATAACTGTGACCAACATTGGATAATAGCCTTTTTTTTGATACATAAGAAAAAAAAAAAAGAAAGAGGGTAGTTCATCTCAATGAATTATTGCGGAATTTCTTAATAAATTTCCCCAAAATTTCTAGTTCTCTGTTATTTTCTATTAAAACAAATACAAATAATGTATTACACCTCTTTTAGGGGGCATGTGATGTTGAGGTTCCCTAATAAACAGCAAATTTCAACCTGTTCACACTGTTGTTGTTAGCATATCTCTTGCTTCAAGATTTCTTCTTTAACAAAATGTTGAGTTTTTTATGCCTCTTCTTCTTTTTAGGTAAGGATTCTTTATTATCCCCTATCACTTAAGACTAGTTTAGTATGAGAGGGTCTCAACTCCCAATCATCAGCTAACAAACATATCCCCCTTTTTCCATTTTATTATATACAGTATATTTTAATTCATTTATACATACCACTGTACCAGGCTGAGTCTAGTGTCATGGATGACTCGACCACAGTATGGGATGGGAAGAACATTTAGCATTTAATCTATTCAACCCAAAAGACATGTAATGGCAATGCCCCTTTTGATCCAGGCCGTTCAATCCCACCTCGTGAACCAATCTCACATTCTAAAATCTATCCACGTGTATGCGCGCAATGCAATGACACACTTGGCAATCAGATCCTTTATTTTTATTTGAAAATTAATGGTTAGTCGGGTGGCATTGTTATTTGCTAATAGTCTAAGCAATAATGCACAAACTTCCTAGTAGTCCATCCTTCTTGCTTATTCCTTTTAAATTTCATTGTGAATTAGGCTTTGTTTAATGCTTCTTGTTTGAATAATTGTTTAGCTTTAATTAAGCCATATCTTTTCCCAAGAAATGAAACAAGAATCCTAGAAATGGCTAGAAAATCCAAACACATATTTGACAAGATTCTTTTACCTCTAATATGATTGCCCAATGCCAAGTCTAGCTTAGCTAGACTTGTCCTTGCTTGTCCTCGGCACCAAGTACTGTCTAACTCAGCCAATTGCACTTGCTTCTGGGGTCACCACTTCTTGAAAAGCAATTGATGGAAGGTCTGAGTTATAGATAACTCAGGACACAAGATGTGGAATTGGCCCTGACTTCAGAGTTTGTTTCCCAAAAGGCCGAGGAATATTCAGACGAGAGAAGTGCCATCCAGTTGCCCAGAGAGGTCCAATTGGGAGAGTAATCACCCTGAACAAACATGTCAGCAGCTTGGTAGCCAGCCCTACTGCTTTTGTCTCTCATTGGCTCTAAATTGCTTAGTTTCAACATTTCCAGCCAATTTAGGTGGTGATGAAAACATAAAAAATTAGACATCTTATTCAGTGCAAACTTCCTCTGAACAATCAATAACATTAGACAAGACATTTCCCTAAAAAGTTACCTCAGGCTAGGGCTGCTGAGTTGGTCTTCCAAGTGGATTCACGTCCCACAAATATAAGGCCACTAGGATGTTGGCTGCATTCTGTACATCGTACATTGAAATGAGATCTTAGATATCTTTCTTTCTCTTGATTTCTCCCTTTTCATCTCCTCATGGATATATATGTATCAGTTGGCGAAAGATAGAGCTAAAAAGTATTAAACTTTGTCAAAAGGTCAAGTAACTTTGGCAGTAGAAAAAACAGAAGAAAGACAAGAAACATCAAATCCAAAAATCCTGCTGGTTTTTACTTTCTAAGAACAAGCCATGAAACCAAGCGGTTTTGGCATAATCTATGGGAGGCAATAAGTCTCATCAGCATCTGTGAGTCACGAGGCTAATCACAAGAATTATCACATGTTCTGGGACAGGAAATGGTTTATTTATTACCCTGTTAACATGGGCTGTGCGATTCTTATTTTAATTATTAGTTAGTTAAGACTCTGAACTTCTGATACTGTGAGGATCCAGAAGTTGGTTATCGACGTTAGTAACAGTTGGGCACATGAGATGTGCAGAGATTGATCTATATACATATTATATACACTACATGGACAATTAATTTACTAACATGTGATGATTGATGAATGCAGAAATAAATAAGGGTCTGGTTCAGTGGTTCTTCTAAAATTTTATTTGTTGAACTGAGTGAGTTTGGAGAGTCACTATTATTATTATGTTATAAGTGAATTGAGATATCAGATTTGAATAACATGGGTTGCAGCTTAAGGGAGTACAAATTTATGCTTAATTTATATAGGGAGATGTGTAGAACTTAAAAGCAAAATGCATTAACATCTCCAACTTTGTCTTAAACACTTGCTAATCATAGAGTTCTGAATTATGCAACAGGCATTTAAGCAACATTATTGCTACTGTCAGGACTGCGCAAAACAAGGGTTGGATCCATAGAATGCTCTTGAAATAATGAATTTAAGAAAGAATAAGGGTGAAGAACATAGAGAAGATCAGACATAATTTAATTAATCAAGGAAAGCTTATTAAGAAACACCAAAGCATATGGGTTTTCATTTTGGATGCCTGCTTGATCATACCAATGATAAATCAGTCAATGGCCCCATGTGTGACACGTGCAAGGGGATCCCTTGCATATGGGGGCTTCAGGTGTCGGCTCTCATTTGGCCACGTCTGCACATGGTGGCACATGCACATCTCCCCCTTCTTCCCCATGGTTGCCCCAGACCTGATCTCCCAAATCATTGAGTCAAATGGAAGGAGAGCATCCTATGGAAAATTAAATTGTTGTTTTTCCAAGCCCTCTAGCTAGTTGTTTCCTCCAATGGGGTATTTGTTTGAATTGAATGATCAGGCAAATTTAAATTTCAAATTCTAGGTCTATTTTCAGCTCTTCTAAATACATCTTTTATTAATTCCCAATACCCAACAATCAAATAAATTATATTAATTACCAAAAACAAACAATCAAATGGAGTATAATGTATTAGAATTAATGGGTATATAAATCATTTGGTCCTCTTCCTTCCACAACCGGTTTGATTGGCACATTTTCTTCTTGTTATTATAGTATTAATATTTTAATTTCTTTATTATTTAATTTGGCTCATAGATTATGCATTGGGAAAGGTGTCCAACCATCATGTGTATCACCAAAATAATAAATGGGGGATTCCCTAACCAACCAATCTCACAAGAAAAACTACCAACCGCCAGAACCCACTAAGCTAATAGTGGCACAGTACCCAAGCATGTGTTAGTAATAGTTGTAGTAAGCTTGTTTTCTGTTTGAAAACAGGAGGGCTACAATGTTCAAGTAAACAGCAGCCTCTCTCTTGTTGGTTATGCCTTCTGATACTTTTTCCTCTCCTCCTTGTAAAGAGAATCAATCCCTTTCTTCAGAGAAATAAAGGGAGCACTGCAACAAAAACTCTTGAAATTAAATTTAAATGGTTTCTTTTAAGTAAAACATGATAATAAGCCATTTTTTAT